TTACTTGGCCACATGATTACCACCACCACCACCACCACCACCACCACAATAACAACAACAACAACCAGGGACAAACTGTTTTACTCATCGGCTTATCCAAATTCAATACTTTACTGTTGTATATTCCCAGCCCAATCTTCCTCAAAATTATCCGCTTGCTACGAACCGGGAGGTAAACGTGGACGTCCATTGTCTGCATCAGAGTTCAGCGGTGTGGAACAGAATCACCAAATCGCCCCGCTCAATAGTCCCATTGCCAATTGGACACAAACGGAATTAGTAACAACAATATATTGTCCTAACACACATGAAATGGATGAAATCCCAACCACACATACAATAGCTTGTACTTGGGATAGCGTTGTGAAGCTGATCGAAGTGGCCTTCTCGATGAGTCAGTACGACGTATTTATTGCTTTGCTGGTCCCGACTATGAAATTGCTACAAGTAAGTGAAATCAAAAAATAAAGTATCGATTTCATGCCGTCAAATTCAGCAAGAGCACATCAGAAACTTTTGTTTATCATCTTAATTCATCTCACCGTCTAGGAAAAATGGTCATGATTGATTTCTGTTGAGTAACTCAATCAAATGTCAACTTATTTCTCACCACATTGATTTACATAAATATAAAAATTTCTGCACCGTTCTTTGAAAACTCTGTCTATAAAATTGATCAGAAGTGATTTTAATTCGTTTCACTAACGCGACGAATGAAATCTGCTATGCAGTATTATTTTGTAGCTTGCGCTGAGTCCCAGCCCAGCCTAGCAGATGACCAACTCATTGGATCCGAATACTAATTCTAGCATATGCAATGCATATTTCATGCCGCTGATTCACAAAGGCTCTATGAACTAACTGAACAATGCTTACAATGCATTATCTTAAATGATTGGAAGGATCACTGCGCATGAAACCTCCACCCAAGGAACTGTGAATTTAACTGGAATGTAATCATCAGTTATTTTTTCATTTTTACTTTCGTGTATTGAATACACAATGATACAATTTTCAGGAAGGGGAAGCGGTCATTCAAAGGGCCGCCGCACAACACACAAATGGGAAAAGTCAGGCAGTGGTGGAGGGATTTGAACACTTGTACTTGGGGTGATAATTTGGGGACATTACTACGTGGACACCACCAACCAAAAATGATACGCAATGCAATACAACACACGATACAATTGCGAATTTAGCACAGGGGCAGCACTCTTTCTATTCATTCATTCTTAACCACATGTTTTTAAACTTCTACTCATTTTCTGTGCAGTAAACATATCGAAAATACCGTTTGTAAACCTCATCATTTCTCGATTCCTACGCATAATATGGGGCAGTTTGATGCTGTTCGAACGATACTATCCCTGTTTGTGATCAAACCGGTTTTCTGTATTAATGTTCGATTGTGCCCCGAGGTCCTCTTAAGAAAGCGTTCAAGCTAATTTTTCCTAGTAAAGTTATCACTAGTCAAATTTCTGCAGTTGCATTTAGTGTTCTTTTGCCTTGTTTTTTTAAGGGTCATAAAATTATTTTTAATTCAACTAAACTTCCACATGCTGATCATTTGGAATTTATCTCTTACAAAGCTACTAAAACAATTTATTGAATTTTACAAGATAATGAACCATCCTATAAAATTTCCCTAACCAAAACAAATTCCTAAAAATCAGGTGGTTATTTTTGAGGAAGTCTCACTATACCTTGGAATGGCCCCCACCCTCCCATCTGAAAGACTGCACAAGCATGGTGAAGTCGAATTATATGCACTGTGTATAGGTACATAATATACAGTACAGTGAAATGCAGTGATATGAACCGAAGCCAAACAAACGGAAAAACGTACCTGAAATCAATTTGTGGAGCACAGCGTTTGTCATAAAATAACTCTCGACTGCTCAAATTTTGATTAGAAATACAAATAAAATGAAAGCTTGTTTCTTTTCTGTTTTCGTTTCTCCTATTCCTTTGCGTTCGTTTTCTTCAGTACACAGGCGTATTTTGATTGCTTCCGGAAAACCAAAGCCTTGAATCGAACGCAGTCATATAATGCTAATACAATGAGAAAGCTAGACACTGATAGCGTGCTTCGCGGGCACAATCTCCGGGACTATAGATGAACTGTCTTTATGGCATGATTACCTGTTTCTAATCTGTGCCCAGAGCTGTATATAGTCGAATTGTTTTGTGTAGTGACTTGATTATCTCATCTATTCACAAGCCCCAAGTTTTGCCACAGCTTCAGTATGCTCTCTTGACGAAAAGTTCTCCCGAGTTCACGTGGGACCTCAAAACTGCCACAGGTTCATGAGCAGTGTGTAGTTAGCTACGCCAAGACATGTGGCTTGGTTTTGCCCAAAACTGTAATCTTTAGGTCAGATGGATTGTTGGTTTCTACTTGATATTGTGTTCAGTCATTGAAACCCATGATCAACGTAGGTAAGAATGTATTTTACTTTGCACAGCCTCCTGTACCTCAAGTTTTCGCGATTAAGGCATTACTGTTTGCCAACTTACAGTTCAGTCAATAATGTATCAAAAGATAGCTGGAGTTTTGAAGTATAAAAATTGTGGTTTTACACCAGGATTAAGCAGATATTTTAGGTCAGTCATTCTGTTTCAACTCCATGAAATATTCTCATGGTGGATTTCGCGTGTGAGAATTCCTAGAATGTGAAATCGATCAGCAATTTTGAGCGCCCTCAAGTATCTGTCTGTAATATGCATGGCAATAGTTACAAATGCCATTTTTCTTATACTGTTATAATTCGTGTGATGTTCATGGACAATAAACTAGAAGCAAGTGGAACTGATGATTAACGTCAATGATGCTGAGTAATTAGATGGGTGTTTTCCCTGGCACAACACACTAATTCCAAGGGGAACCACAAGAAGTGACAAACCGGTATGTAAGTTCGTTCTCGATTAAACCTTTATGTGCTTGGAATGGATATGGTGCCACTGTCAATCAAAATAATATCCTAGTTTGGCTTCTTGAAGAAAAAGCCTTACACGAGAAGTAGTAGAAGTACAAATGTGCTCTATGATCAAATAAGCTACTCTGTGGTTACATAAATGGGCATCAGTTCCATAACTTTGAGCAGCAAACTTGTGGCAAGCTTGAATTCGTAGTGGAAATCGTAGGGACTGTTTGTAAAACGGTAAGGTTAATCGTACAACAACTTTGCTGGTCCAGAAAGTGTCTGAAAATACCATTTCCGGCTATAAGAACTCTCAGGTCAACGCGAAAGAATTTAAGCTTTAGTTTGGTAATGTGTAGTATTGGTCAGAAAGGAACCCTGAACTTCCCGGTATGACGTTCTCTTTTCCTCTCTTCCCTCTATCTCAAGGATTTTCTCACCAGCAATACTGAGCAGACTGGTAATGCGGAAATGGCCAAATCAAACTTTAAATTGTTGAATTTGATGCGTGCACTGTACACGTACCAGCGGCAGCAACGAGCCAGTCTGTCCGCAAGGGAAGCGCAAAACCCGGTAAGTAGATCGACCTCCATGTTGTGCAACATGTAAATATTCAGCCATTGGATACACTCGTACATATACGTATACATAGATAATGTGGAATGACTGTAGCTCAGGGAAGCCCCTAAGTCGCACCAATGGTGTTGCCTTGCATAATTTCAAGACATCTGCAGTCAACACCTCCCACTCGGATAACCCATTAATATTTGTAGACAGTTTGAAGTGATGCTATCCTCGGATGAATGAATAAAATCTGTATGTAGGAAGTCAAATTCGCAAAAAAAAAACAACTGAAACAGTATGATCTGACTGCTGCACGAATGTTTTTCCTTCGATCGGCCATTAGTCTTATTTGATCCCAACATTTCGAATGTATCTTCATTTCTTCAGTTTCATTCTACACCAATGAATGTTTATTTCAAATCCTGAGTACAACCAGTACAATTAGACTATTTTCTTTTTCATATTCATAAAATATGGTCTCTACATTGCTCAGTATGGTGTCTCAATATGCGTAGAAAGAATGATGGGGAAAAAGACAAAACATCCGTCGTCGAGTATATATTGTCTAAAAATGTTAGGAAACTGTCAAACGGCGGGATCATTAAGTCCGTTATTTTCAACAGAATAATACCGGTGGGTATAAAATCACATAGACTCTACGGTTTAACGAAAAGCCCAATACTTGACACGTACAGCTGATCCCGATACAGAATAGCGAAATTGTTAGTTAAAATTTCCTAGCCTGTCGTAAGAAAACAAGCAACTTGCGGTCTGCGCGAGACCTTTGGATTTGTGGACACGATTCAGCCGCCTGACAAATGAGAAAAGTGCATGTTTTCTCTCGATTTGACCCCTCTACTCACCAACATACCCCTGGTAGAAACCATAAACTACCTATGCAATCAAATTGCCCTCTGATGCATGAATATTGAATTACCTGTTGTGGACCTTTGCAAACTAATTTACTTATGTGCGTATGATATGAAATTGCAGTTTAGTGGGAGACGTACTGCCAGAAAGAGGAGATCTCCCTTTCGGCAGGATGTATTTATGGCGAAATGAGAAAGTGAGTTACTGGATGGTCACATAAAAGAATGTTTCGTATTGGCATTACGTTGCTGCTGCTCTATGTAGTCGTTTTCTTCAGCTGTTCTGTTAACCTAAATTAACAAAGCCCACAGGAATGTAGGATTTACATTGGTGATGAAACCTTCCAAAGGACTGGCAATCCTTCATGTGTTTATCTCTCGCTGCAAAACGGGTCTCTCCTACTTATCACTCAAAAAAAGAAAACTTGGACCAGAGATTACATAAAATACATCAATTTTGTGCCTCTACACTAAAAGTAGGCATTGATTCGATTCATGATGAATCGGACAAAACAAATATGTTCGCCACAATCACGCAAGAAATAAATGAAAAAAATCAGAAAGATTCTTATAAAAAATGGATATTGAAATAACGTAGTTTGAAAACGCATGGAGTTTAACACAAAGTGCAATCAGAGTTGATTAGAAAGAGGAAACAAGTTGATTTGTGCATCCGCTTCAGCAGTAACAGTAGGATTTTAGTCAGAAACACGTACTAGGCCGCTGATCAGCGCATAATTTACAATTCCAATTTTTTTTACTCACTGCATGTAAAAGACTATCTCCGGGTGTAAGTGATCTCATACTGATTTTACCAATTTGTTTGTTCTTGTGGAACCAATTACATGGATCGTACCCTACCGACGCTTGATAGAACGCATTCAGCTGGCTTAGTCACGGTTTGGCAAAACCGAGGAAATGGCTCACTTGGTCAGAAAGGAACATCGTGTCTTAATAAGCGAATCATTCAAACTCATCTATGCAATCAAAAGAGCATGATCAAAGCCGGACTAGCATCGCTCCATATCAATCACCGATGCAATCGCGATTTGTGTAACAACCCTTCCCCCTCCGTTGTGCCTGCAAAACCAATCAATCAGAGCCGTCTATGCCATGATCAGCCACTAACGCCTGAGTGAAACAACGCCTGTCACGGACTTATTATAATATCGTTTAGGTATTTGATTTATTCGACAATACATGTGACATTTTCAGAATGATTTGAACTACCACATCTCTCCAACAATACTGGCGATATACAGTCATGCACAATCAATGGCTGCTGTCAACGCACTAAAAGCCCTAAGCAATCCGGACAATGAAAGCAGCACAGCAATAACGGCAGTTTTTACTGAACCGCGTTTATTTGAAACACACTTAGCGGACATGTCCTTTCTAGCTGGAAAGCACATTGAAGAGTGTAAACGAAGGGCTTAATTTATTTATATATGCAGGTTTTTTTATTCCAACAGTTTATTTTTGGCTTTTTTCCAGGCCAGATCATCGGATCGGTCAAAAACCAATACGAAAAATGAAATACAACTGTCGCACACTTCAAGTATGTAATGCTATTGCATTTAATTTGCCATTACTCTTTCAGTCCATCAATGGCTTCCAAAACATTTGAATTCTTTATTGCAGGCACTGAAGCAAATCATCGGGGATGACAGTTTGTCGGTACGTTTTCAACTTTGTTTCGGGAATGCAAAAAGTCTTCATAGTTACATTATAATTTATCCCAAATGCATTATCGATAATTGACAGGTGAGATCGCGCAACCCCGGCTTGATTCTCGATTGCCTTTGGCATTTGTGGGACTACGGAAAGACTGCATTCACAAAGTTGTTGCCCGTGTTTTCTTCGATCAAAAATGACGGATCAGCATCGTTCTGGCGAAATCAGCTGATTGCCGTGAGTTTATCACTAATCATATCATTCAGTCGTGGGTATCATTTACAGTGTACTTTCAATAACATGCACCAGATACAAGTGATTTTATTTAGTCAAAATGTGTATGCTCAATTCACCGGATCCTGTAATTGAAAAGATAAAGCATTCACCAGGCGATCAAGACAAACGATGTGACCAAATACTGAATTAGACTTGACCTTGCTATTGATTCATATAATGAGAATATCCATGCCAGTAAGTCCCTGAAAGCAATATTTCATAGATGACACATGTAAATAGCATATTATGATATTTGATTACTAACGGGTATAAATAAAATTCTCTCTCCATGTAGAGAGTTAGAAATTTGTGCAATGTAATATATCAAAAGTTATTACCATTAGTAAAATTTTAATAATTCAATATAATCCAAGTGAATTTACACGCCGGGTGTTGATCATGGATTCCAATCATTGTCCAATATAGATTAGACAGAACTGGTGACAGTCGACAATGTAATCTAATATCCTCCCGATAATCTCAAACTGGTATCCGGACTAAATACCTTCGAAGTATTTCTTCCAATCTAGATAGTATGTGTGTGGGCAGGATACTGGTTGTTTCGTATTCATCCTATTCATCTCTTCCAAATAATTTCGTCAAACTTGAACTGACACTGGTGAAAGCAGCATTCACCGAGTCCCCGGAGTACACGGTATAATGAACACACTTAACACCTTGAGATTATTTATGCTCATGGGTTTTATTGCAACGCACCGGTTTTTTTAAATACATGTGGGGGAAACTTTCAGTAGCTGTCCGTTGTTTCATCTATCCCGATGCCAATATCTGCAATAGCACTGTTTGGTTAGTATACACGAGTAACAAGATAAAAAGATATTTGGACACTAATTATGTGTTCTACCGAAAGCTTTGCATCTCCCATTTCCACTCTTGGTATGAGGTGTACCATCCACGACATCCAAGGAAGATGGATGACACTTTAACTAGTTAAGAGAATTTTAGCTTTAAAGGACCGTAGGGAGCCGTGTAGTGCATGCAAAAGTTACTAATCTAAAGTGCACCGTGTCATTCGTTTATCTCATTCCAATAGTATAACAAATTTCTCAAACGGTGCCCAATAGGAGTTATTATGCTCCTGTAATATCTCATTACCTGCACAGGCTAGTCGTGATCTTAAAAGGTTCCTCTAAGGAACAAATTCTCTTCTTTTTTTCTGAAAACAGGCTGACAATGGGCTGAAATCTAATATTATATCATCCTATCGGTTCGACTTATTGGATATTTTTACTAACTGAATCATAATAATTTTTAAGAAATTAACTATGACTGGCACAAAGCTAAAGACTTTTCTGAATCCGCAGGGAAAAATCAATCAGTCTTATTCTGAAAGACCCGGATTCTACTTATCTTTCCATGAAGGAAAATGATGTGAACAATGGCTTTCACTCACAATTAATACTGCTAATGGATTAAAAAAATCACACTGATGAAGATTCGGATAGTCTATTTTTATTCAAGGAGGGCTGTTAAACTTATATAGGTCGTAAGGTAAGGCAGCTATCTAAGCGCATCAAGGAACGTCAACACACGTGGCTTAGACGCGGATGAATCGGCGTTATCTCCAATTCTGTTGTTGTACTTTTGGTCGAAACTGACCATAAGGTAGATGCTAATTCGGCTTTCATCATCATTTATATTGCCTCTCACAACACAAATCCAAAGCTGTTCGAATTTAAACGCTATCAACAGCCGATGCAATCATCATCCGCTTGTTGAAGCCAGAACTGTGTGCTCAAAAAACATTTGTTCAGGCACTCAAATCTCCCCGGCCCAACGCGGACAACATCACTCATGAGAGCTGTGATGACCCAACTCCTTTATCAACGCTTACGTAACCTGTTCTTATCTGAACAAGAAAACTGGAGACAAACGTGTCCCTACCCCACCCCTTTGACCTCGACTGTTCGACTCAACGCAAAACCCTCCCGCTATTTTTTTTACGCAAATGTGGTTGTAATGGTTTGAGACGGAACTCACCCAAAACATATATTCAATACAATCTGTGTTCAGATTATGATGATGGGCTTATTTTGTGATGCAAATTATCTCTGCCCTCTCGAGTTTTAACCGAGTTATATAAATGTGGTGTAGTAGCCAAAGAAGAAAAAAACCACTGAAAATAAGTCTTGTTCGCCACATTGTATTCTATTCAAAATGTTCTTTGGTGGTCTAATGGAACGAAAATGTTTGCTCACAAAGGACAATCTGCTCAAAAATAAATCCCATTTTCCCCACCGCTACTTATAAGGAGTTTAGAGCCAAACAAAAAACAAATTGATTGACTTATCTGACACTTTGCATTTCTCTGTTGACAGCACGTCTACCTGTTTCGTGTGATACAGTCCGCATTCGTTTGGTTGCAATCATCTGTGCATGACGGAATGTTAGTTGTTTACTGGGGAGCACAATTTCTGACTGCCGTGAACCAGTTATATGACTACCAAATTCAAGAGCTCTCCAGTGGTCAAGGCGATCTGGAAACATCGCGACTGCTCCTAGCTGCATTGAATATGGAGGAGAGTGCAAGTACGGTTACGATGCATGGGTTCACTTTTCTCACATTTAATTATTCACACCAGATTTGTAAACCTGACAATTTTACCATAGGTTTTATAAATTTAAAGCCAGATAAACCAAGATTCAGGGGAGAAAAGGAAAAATTAAGATGGCGGCGAAGCTGGTGTTGGATTCAAATGCACAATATCCAGGGCGACGTAATAAATACTTGTGTCATCATTTTGTAACTGTAACTCTAACTATTTTTAAGCAAACTGCATCAGGATAATGTTTAACTTAACAAAAGCACGCAATGATTGACCACAGATGCCCAAAAGTTTGTTTTATGAGTGATTCAGACGTATCTGGATTAATAAAAAAACATTTGAGGAGTAAATTCAACATGTCCTCTAATTCGGTTTTGTTGTGTTTGTTTTACAATATTCATTGAGCCGGAAAACAGGCATAAAGCTCTAATCCACGACTGAAATGACATCTTCGATTTACCTTATATTGCAAAAGTTTATTGGCATAAATGCCACTGGTTAATTTCTTTTATCCTGCTGTGTCTTAGATCACCGTTGAACAAAATTTAATGGATTTCAACCTTACCAAATTGTTTTATGGTCCTATATCTGTCCAAAGTATCTATGTATCAGTCTTTTTGTCAAACTTCAGTTGTGCTTACTCCAATATACGGGCTGTTCCTGACAGTTTTCAAGAATCCTACCACATTCAACAACGTCAAGTATTTCACACTTCAAGGGCTGCATTTTTCGAGTTCTAAAACTCCATATTACATTAGTAATTCTGTAAAAGCACGCAATATACGGGAATTTTGACGGAGTCATCTTAAAGTGCATTTAATTTTCGGGTATATCTCGGGTAGTATTCTCCAGCGGAATTCGCACTCAACTAATCGGCTTTTGGTTCGACGTTATTGACCATTTACTATTTGATGTTGCCATAGGTGGGACCTATTAAATGTTGCTGAGCAGAAATTCAGTTGATCAGCCTTTCAAGCCCCTTGATTTCACAAACTGAAAGGCACAACTTATCCATCAGTCGGAATCTTCGGATTTTGAAAAATGCTCCGTCGTAAAATCATACAACATACCAGAGGAGATAGTTCACAATGATGCATTTAAGGTATTATCAGGAAATGAAAACGCGGTAGATATAAGTTTAACCGGAACAACGTCATTGCAGATTTCCATTACGTTTTCAATACATTTCTGAACGTAAAAGTGAACTCCAACGACAGGTTTTCCTTAGAATTCACCGGAGTCCACCGAATGAGCTTCCAAAACAAGGTGAATTATTCAAATGGTTGTTTAGCAGTGAACTGTTTATAAATGCTCACGCATATCTGATATTAACTGAGGGAGTGTCCCGTTGTGCAAAGTATGTGAACTACGGAAGACTTTCCAATAACAATCTTGTAAGTTCACAAGAGAGTGCCGGATGAGGAGAGCTATTTATTAAAAATAACGGCAAGCGGATCAATAAATTGGCATACATACAACAAAATGTCTCATTTTGAACAAGTCTCCTGAATTCACACAAGCATAGTGGATATTTACACGAACAGTCCGATAGCAGATGCGCATTTTCTGTAGTTACAAAAGTGGATCATTTAATCCATTCGCGAATTCTGTGGGAATTCAATAACCATTTCTTGATGCGTACAAACTACTAGCGAGTGTGAGTAGTATCTCATCACACTATTATTGCCCCTCCAACTTCTGCTGCTACTACTAATACTATTACTGTTATTAGGTAACACTGATATTTGTGAGTAGTATGTTTGGATTGTGCAAACAAACGTGATTGGCGGTTTCTTACAACGACCAACAATTAACAAAACCTCATACAGCGAGTAAGTGGGTTCAAATTGTAACTAAAGAAAATGCACTTCTGCCTTGGGACTGTTCCATCACTGATCCTGCATGCTTGTCGGCATTATGATGAACTGTTCCAGATGAGATGTTTTGTTCTTTATAATCGTGTTTACCTATATCCGATGCTGTTGCCTGAGTAAATAACTCTTTTCATCGCTCACTGGATCTATGGATTTATGGCGCTACTACTACTACTACATATGAAATCAACTTGGGTGCAAAACGAGAGTGAAATTGTATATACAGAATATTTGAATGACGTATTCATGTCCTCGCATATCTTCCAAACGTAGGTATTTTCCCGCAGTTACAAACGGATTAGATGGGGGATTGCAGAGTAAACACGAGCTCGGTATTCTAGAAGGAATAATGTAAATTTCATGATTTTTACTTCAAAAATTTATGTATTTTGTTTTCGGAGCTATTTTGATATCGTGATATCTATGCTTTATTAAATCGAAAGACTTGAATTGAGTGTATGGATGTAGCCGTTGCAAGCAAGCATCTCGAAATTCATTGTGTTGTTCATGTGCAGTGTGGCTCGCGACAATCTGCTAAACTGGGAAGCAACAATCACTAGAAGTATTTTCCAAGCTTTCTTTTTCAAAACAAACTTCTGTATCACAAGAAGGACTGCTATCGAAGCTTGTTAAACATTTCCTGTGGCTTTGTTTAAAAAAACGTATTTGAATCAACAAGAATTTACTCCATTTTGATTGTGGTCGTGACGATAATTAAGCGTTGAATCAACTGATCCATTGATGTGTTATTAGAACCGCATCATCGCACCCACTTCATTCTTCTTCTGAACGGTTTGATCAAGATTCTAAATCAAAAAGTTGATGAAAGTCACTGAAAGATAGTAGATGTCAAAATGTTTATCTCAAAGCAAACACTTTAGTAATTTGAGGGAATTGTGGAATCCCTAACGATCTCACAACCATTTGAATGTGAAATATTTATAAAACAATGATTGAGTATAAGACAACACAGGAGTTGGAAAAATAGATCAGGGCTTCAAAACGAACTTTTTTGTTTACTGTAATGTTTTGGTTTTTCTAATTCAGGAACTTGTAGTTGCTTTAAACAAGGAGTGATTTCTCTAGTTCATCGCTCCTGCCGTTAAAGGATTATCATCTGAACCAGGTAGATCTCCTCTTTCCGTCAAGAGGTTCACTGTTAAGGGGCATATTTGAAAAAGCACAAACTTAAAAGCATCCAGTTACCTTCCAAAAGAATTGCCTAGATCATAATAATGCCCTTCGTAATTAGAATAAAACACGAGGAAATTTATTTTATTAAAAATTAGTTCACCGTTCCTGATTTTCCTAGTTTGGTATATTGGATATCCAGTATGAGTAGCACTTCTGAGGGTTGTTGGCTCCTTTGGAACATTCTTCCTTCTTTGGGCTCCACCAGGCTCTCAGCTCTCACCGGTGGATCCAAAATGCTCTCCGGTGGCAGCAGTGGCCACACACGAGTACACTGCTCGACAGGCGGACCGAAACAGGTTGAGGGTAACCGGGAGATCAATTCCCAGTAATTTGGTGGTTACCTTACGTGTTGGGCGACGAAGGCGCTTAAACGACTCAATGGTCATTGCAATGACTCCTGGTTAATTGGGAGTTTATGCATCCCTGTTCAGCTATAAACTGTCACTGTCGTTTGAGCTCCCCAGAGAACCAACAGCAACCATGTGCTACCTCCCTGCTGCCTTGCATTCAGCTGAAACTAGGCACGCTCACCCACACTAACCAGAATGGATTTCGTCCAGATGTGAACTGCGCTGATCAAACAATTACGTCGACTCTTGAAATATCGCCAAAAGTTTCAACAGCCCACAGCATTCGATTTCTAAAAACGCAAATTACCTTAGAATATAGTTTTGGCCGATGGTGTCCCAGTAAGAATTTTCGACTTTACGAGATCCTACCACTCCAACACTAATGCCCGAATCAGGATCTACGGTGAGGAGGAAACGTGTTTGAGTGAGGATCTGAAATGGGACAGGGTTGACCATGGACTTCAATGCTGTTCAACTTTGCCGTTGACTGCACACTTGGTGAATCGATGGAAGGATACCAAGTAATTCAGATTTCTCCGAAATTATGGCTCACTGACTTAGAATTCGCTGATGATATTTTCATCCTTCGTGATGCTATATCCAACCTCCAATTAGTCATTGAACGCATCAGTCGACAGGCCTCCGAGACCCGCTTAGATGTGAACACATCAAAAACCAAAACAGTAGTCTCAATTTATCCCAGAAATTCTAAACTACTAAACGGCGAGCCGGTCGATTCCGTCAAAAGCTTTAAACATCTGGGCTCAAAAATACTCCCGTATGGCCAAGTTGAAGACGAGGTAAAAGTGCGCGTCGATGCTGCAAGAAAGGCGTTGCTACATCTGAAGAATTCTCTTTGGCTTATAAATTAAATCAGCCTAGAGAAAAAGTACGAGTTTTCTCCGCAGTATTCCGTCCTGTCTGGCTATACGACTGTAAAACCTGACCACTCAGAGTTGAAGACTGTCGACGTTTAGAAGTCCTCGAGCAATGGTGCTTAAAAGCAATTGTGAGAGTGCGATAGATGCATTGGCTCCCAAACAGAGCGATCAGAAACCGGTGTTTTACACCTCTACGGGTGCGGATACCAATGCAACGGAGGGGAAACAAATGGTTTGATCAAATACTTCATTAGTCCAATGACGACCTGACACGAACTGCCTTGAAACCCCCTCCCTGCCCGAGCTGGTGCTGTCAAGGCGGTGGGCTGCCGGGAATCTGGCTTGACACAGTGCCATATGATTCCGAAAACCTGGGCCTTCCCTTCGTCTACGGTAATCGCGAAAGGAAATCAAGCTGGATCACAATCTGCACTGATCTTGCCACAGACCACCAAGCATAGGCAACTGCAATTCGGGATTCCTATGAATCCGACATATACTCTCCGTAGAGCCAACCACCGTAAATTACAGAAAAGTAATTTCCTAGCCTGTTGTCCTTGGTATACAGCTAGCTACCTTCGTGATGCTATATCCAACCTCCAATTAGTCATTGAACGCATCAGTCGACAGGCCTCCGAGACCCGCTTAGATGTGAACACATCAAAAACCAAAACAGTAGTCTCAATTTATCCCAGAAATTCTAAACTACTAAACGGCGAGCCGGTCGATTCCGTCAAAAGCTTTAAACATCTGGGCTCAAAAATACTCCCGTATGGCCAAGCCCGAGCTTTAGGCTTTAGGCTTTTCTTTACTTCGATGAAGTCCTCGAGCTGCTTCAGTGCTGATGTTTGCAGTTGTTAAAGATCGTAAATTACACTCCGCCAGGGTCTTCTTGCAGCCCATCCGAAAGCAACGGTCATGTCTACACACAAGCAGGTACATAAAGTAATCAGTAGTATGCAGTCGCAATATCGCGTTCTTCATCCTGGTCATCGATCAGTTATAGACTCTCCGTGATCAATTCGGTCAGATTTATTGTTTTCTCTATTAAAAAGCCAAAATTAAAATTCTAACTCTAGTCGTTTCATTGAAATCAACCTGCTTGTCACTACGTATCGTCCTGGCTTGATCTTTCTCAGGGTATAGGGGTGAGTCCGAGGGAAGAACAATGTCATTGAACTATTTAATAGTTTAGATTTATAGCCAGTATTGTGAGAAATTGAAACATTGTCTGATCAATTTGTCGGACAGATTATTTTTCTATCGAGATATGGGAATGATTGTGATTGAATGTATAAAAGAATTTGGAACTAAACTTGCCTCACCACCATCTAACACTTCACTTTATCATCGTCCTCATCCCAAGGGTCTTCGATCGAATGAGATAAGCATTTATTATTATTATTCATTATTTTTTTTTATTTCACACGTCTGGGTCCAGACAGTGGGCCAAACAAATCAAAGCAAAACGATGTTAATAAAAAGAAGAAGTTCCATGAGTTGTTTCTGGGCGCGATACTGCAAGGTTGCCCAGGCCGAGTCAGGTGACTTTCTTTGAGAATTCATAAACAGGGCCTTAAATTGGACGAAGCCGGGCATGCAAAGTAGAGGGGCGATGTGTGAAACCTGCTATTCATTGACAACCGGTGTTAAATTCATCCGATCACACGCGTTTTGAACGGGGTCAAACGTCCAAAGTGTCCAATTCACCACGATACCCAATCGAGCCGGTGGTAGGGAAGCACTTTCGCCACGGGAAGGCAGTGAGTTGCGTTTTCTCAGCGGGAGCTGTTTGAGGCGCTTGGTCGTATAGGAGCTTTTCGTGAGGTAAAAAGTTAGGGTGATCAGCCACAACCCAACACTATCATCCCAACCACACTGGGGCTTACGGATGCTGCTTAAATTGGTACGTGATGTAGTCGTAGTAGTAGTCGTAGTAGTAGTAGTAGTAGTAGTAGTAGTAGCAGTAGTAGTAGTAGTAGTAGTAGTATTAGTAGTAGTATTAGTAGTAGTATTAGTAGTAGTAGTAGTAGTAGTATTGTCACAATTCCAGAAGACCAGTACTGGCTCGAGGAGAGTTGTCTACTGTAAACCAGAGTTAGAACATGGATAATTTGGTTTATATATAACAAGATACCTCATTTTAAGCATGCCATCACAGTTCCCGGTAGCAGACATGATAATGAATGGAACGTTCCGTCATTTTTATTTTGAACACAGCNNNNTTGTTCGTTTTTGACAGCTGAAAGAAACTGCATTCTGTGAGTAGTACCTCACGACGGCATTAATGATAAATAGTAGTAAGCAAGAGCCAGTCCATATATAACTCATTATTCATTATATTCTTTGGCTGAATTAGGTAAGTTCAAAGCAGGATTCTTCGGTTCCTAAACGAAAATGGTTGGAGCGAATAACAGGTTGACTGAATCACTAACCATGCTCGGGTTTACTAACCGAGAGATTATATTTGGGTAGTGTTTTTAGAAAACGGATGAAACATCAATAAGAGAAATCTTTCACGACCACGCACTGTGATACGTTGACCATAAATGATAAATCCGTCTCAGTTTGATCAATGGATTCAAACTAAACTGATGAAAACCAACGGGACCGAAAACATTGACCAGCATTTCCTAGCTGTTTTGTTCACAATTCATTTGCTCTGTTTGTTCACCAAATAAAACGATATTTTTTAAATAATGTTATTTAGTAATGCTTATCCCTCAACGTCATGTGTATCATTCTTCAACTTTCTTTTAAGAGGTTGATAATGAAAACAAACAATAACCCAGACAAAATTTAGATACACAATGGATCCCTTCACCGACTGATTATGCCGTACAAATTCGTTTTCCTTTTTCATTTTCAGTGTCCGATGCGACAGATGAATGCTACGTTTCTCTGTGGATCTCAATTTGGGCAAGAGTTGGTACAATGCAACGATGGATTAGACGTGTGATTTCTTCACGCATGGACCAACTTGCAATGAAACTGGTATGCATCACGCATGCAGTCACGAATAGTATAACAGAGCAACTTCTGACATCTAGCCCACATAAAAAGAGAGTAGAACGATTGTTCTTAGTTGTGGAATAAGATGCATTATTTTTGATCAGAGTTTTTCAGTCAAGTAATTGATAGCTCATATTTAAAGTTGCTATCAGTTATTCAATATAAGAAAGGCACTGAACATGCAATTGCTGGCCAAAAGGAGACAAAGTTTCCCCGACTTCTGGTTGGATTTAATGCCTTGAAACGACAAAATTGGTCGATTTTGATGAACCTCGACGCAAGCCAAAGAACTCTGATCAATGGGTCATGTTCAATCAATCCTCTCACTAGGTCATGAGCTATCGGTGCTGTTTTATAGCAACAACCTTTTCACCTCGTCGACGAAAGTCTTTACCATAGTGTCTGTTAGTTCATAAGCACCCAAAGCTCGCCAACGTTCTCCTGGGATAGTCCTTTACAAACCTCTGACGGAACTTCCATTTAATCTGTTTCTTCCCTTATGGAATTGACCTTGAGCACTCATTACATTTGAAACGGAATCCATTCGCGGGAAATTCGCAGAAGATCGATGATCAGAATACACGTATTCTACTTGACTTGGGATTTCATGTTATACTCCCTCTACCGCATCATCTATTCCATACCCTCTAATGGCAACTTCTGTCCTTGATCGTCTGTGGGATCATCAATGGGACATTAAATGTGCTTTGTCGCTTTAATTTGACGAGGTTGTACAGCGTATCTTGATATTGTAATCAAAGATCGACAAATTCTCTAAAGGAAACCCCCTATCTCATCGCTGTTGCCACTGTGTGTGTACTCAGTTATACACAAAATGGAGCAGTTACAAACCAGTAGCTCTCTAAGGCAAGAACCAGAAGGAATATTGGGTTCTCAGCGGCATTGCCTGATAATTGTTCGGGTTTCATCTTCACCCAGCCACCGATACCACCGATACCCAGATAAATGCTTCGTGCACCCTGAAAGGAGAATATTTATTAGCTACATCACCACTAGACTCGTGCTTAGCTCTGATCAGAGATCTTCAGTATACCACCGGCCAATTCAGTATTTGAACTCCAGACCAAGACATGCGTGTTACCAAAATGTTGATCTGTTTCTGTCCAAACTAACGACAATCAAAGATTCATTGTCAATCACTGCTTATTAGAAACGGTTTTCGATGCGGTGATTGGCAAAAAATTCTACATGTAAAGATTGCGGCAACCCAGATGACATGTAGACCAACTGAAGCACAGATTGAATTGAGATGGAATGTGTGGAATACGTCCTGGCCGAAAACCTGATGTTTTGTTTCCCTTAAAAATGTATATAAAGAAGCTGTAGTTACATTTGCGGTTTCCCCATCATCATCCGCGGTCACGATGGAAGTCAATAATAGTTTTATGAACCCAGGTGGAGAATCTTCACCTTTCACGGATCTAACATATGGTTAATTAAACTTATCAAGGAATATACTCAAGGAGTAACTCATTTGTACCTTCACAAAAGTGGCCAGAAGATCGAAAAACACTTAAGAAGAAGATTAATTTCGGGCGTTGTTTATTGGTCATAGCTCAGGGTTTATACTCTGTCAAACCTTGGTGAGAGTTGCGGGTTTGGTAAAGTAAAGAAGCCTTATTGAATTATATATGTATATATATTTTGAAAAGGATAAGTCCATCACTGAGTGATAGCTTTTATTGTGACGTTTTGATCCAGACTAAGACTCGTTGTCAAACGATAAAACGTGTGAATCAATTGGGTCTGCTTGTGCCTTGCACTAAGTCCAACCAATGTCAAAAAGCACAGTACAATGATCTTTATAAAAGGGAAAAGTTCCATAAATTGTTGAGAGCGCGACACTGACAGGTTTCCCAGACCAAAGCAGATGAATCTTTTGGAGTATTCTCGGTCTCAACATGTGATTAGCCAAGGCCTGACCGGTAATGCAGAGAACAATTTGTAAAGAACGCATGTTTAGTTCATCGGATCGTAAGCCCCTTGGAGGAAGTCAAAATTGCACGGTGCCTGATAAATCTCGAAACTCGATGGAGCCCGTGATCACCGACAAAACCTGGAAGGTGGGTGTGTGGTTCGTATGCCTCTTCTTAGTTAGTTTGGAATCACGGGTTTTAGTCAACTTCACTAGGTGTACCACCGGAGGTTCACAGACCCGGTTATAGCCCCGTTAAAGTTTTGTCCTCTTACCTTGATGGGGAGATACTTTCATCATGGGAAGGTAGTGAGTATGGCTTTCTCAGCGGAGGAATTTATAGACACTTGTGCTAATATGCACATTTGTCAAGGTGCAATTGAAAGGTGATCAGCCGCAACGCAAGACACACCCGGCCATACTGAGACTTTCGGAGCAACCGTATTGGATTAGGACGATCGAACTGTTACAAGCACTGGTTGTGTAATGTGAATGCCTGACGGAGGGTTTCAAGATGAAACATTACATCATTCATCCATAAATTGATGGCCAATGAAGGCATAGTGTTATTAAAAACTGTTTGTGAGCACAAAGAAGACAATCCTTTCAGCTTTTTGTGGACTTAAACAAGTATTTTAAGTTCCAATATAAATGACCACTGTAAGAATCACTAAGCGCTTCCGGAATGACCGTTTTGCGTCATGTTATCCCCAAATATCATCTTACGTGGGAATCACTTTCTAAGTTACCACATTTTTTCAAAAGTGAGCAGCTTCTAAATTTGTTGCAATTTGGTGGTAATACAGTTGTCGACTACACCTGAAAATCACTACATTACTCAACAGGGAAGAAATTTGGACAAATTTCGGACTACGCCAGACAGATTTACAATAATCGGGGAAGAGAGAAAAAATTGAAATCGGTGCTACTGATGTCCATTACAAACAATTCGCATTTAGCTCACAGTTACTTATGACTAGTGATGTGGGATAATTGATATTGCTTGATTTGAAGTGACTATCCTTTGTTGACAAAACTTTGCTAGAATTATTTCCTCTAAAACCAAGATAAATCATTCGAAAACATTGCCTTCGACATTTAGGGGGTTTAAGGACCAATTTAAAAATGTATGTTGACACTTGGCAAATTTCGTGTTCTCGGGAAATTGATACTAGCTTAGCGCCACTTGCTCTCACCACTGATCGTCTTCATAAACGAATAAACCTCTGTCAAGGTGAAAACATTCCACTAAGTAGGAATTTCACGCAAGACCTCATTCACCATCATATTCCCATATCTTGCAGTCAACAACCGCAGTCTATTCACCTCCAAATGGTTTGAAAACTATGTACTCAACAGAATGAAGTAAAAACGAAAACGCCAATTCATTTAGCAGATCAAAGACAGACTGCCTGAGTGTAACCCTATTTTGTGTATATACTTTTACCTGTAACTGAGAAGTGAGATAAGTGGATGGAACTGTGAGATATTTATCTGGACGCATAAAACAGTACCATTGAACCGAACTGAAAAATAGGTAACCAGGACCGGAGAGAAGGTAATTACAAACCACTGGCTGTATGCACTGACGAAGATACCATCGATGGAGGTCGACTTGCGCATCCTCTCGATGGACGAGGCGATTCCAGTCCGCCTAACTGAACTTTCTGTAATTGCTTAAAATGAGTTAGTAGTTCTCTACTTTTTCGAGACGTTTGTTATAAGCTGCGAAATCCAGTACTCCAAATGAACATGGTTTCTTTGAAAAACCGTAGATTATGACTTTTAACTGATTCTGACATAAAAGCGATGCCTTATGTTGATACAACGTACTATATATATTTTTATTTTCAGTTTAATGAACACCATCCGGAGTCGGAAGCGGAATATCGCGAGTTGAGTGAGCTAATTGTGGAAAGTTTGTGGTCTGAAGAAATGGTCGCGTTCAATCAGTTTGCACTTGGTACGTTAACCGGTGCGTGGTAAACAGCTTAAGAAAATCATATCGACATGTCAATCATACAAGAATAAAGCACCTCATTGGTTGGTTAACAAAGTGCATAATAACAATTGATAAAATGTGCACGAAGGTAACTTTATCACTGCTGTTGTCTTAGACAAATTCTAATGGTGATTCAACGACTTTAAAATATTGGGAGAAAATGGTGCACATTCCTAGTCTTTCGACCAACGTTTTTCTCAAAAACCAATAACCTCAGTTCGTTTTAAATGATATCTATCATAGTGTATCCAGAGACGTATTCTTGAGGAAGAAAAGGAATTGGAAAGACGGGTGGCGGTGAAAGGATTTGAACTCACGATCTCCGAATTTGCATAATAGTGACCTAGCCAGATTGACCACGACGACCACGTCCATATTACTAGCCAAATAATTCAGAAAATAGCAAGGCTTTCCTATATATTCACTCAATAGTTCAGTATTTTCTGTATAATCTGTACAGGTCGGGACAGACTGATACTACCAGCCCAAAACAGAATTAATGTTGTTTGAACTGCGCAAACTACACCATTTGTCCACTTGTCCTCATTATACAAATGAAAAGTTGGAATTGAATTTAACTGTTTGCTTGTTTTTATTGTTTCAGAATCGCAAATGCTACATGATACAGCTAAAGAAACTATGAAACAAGAACTGACAAGAAGTTTAGAAAAATTGTTCTCGAAATCCGTTGGTCTTTGTCGAAGGAATTGGGTCGCGAAGGCCTTCTTTTACTGCCAGCTAGCTTTACACGAGCAGAATTCAGATAAGGCCACAAATTTCCTTCAAGTAAGATTTCTCAATTCGATTTCCTTGTATTTTGAAAACGTTTGGATGGTTGGGTAGGATTTATTGAACGAATAAAGTATAACGTATCATACATAATACGGCGAATAGCGGGAAAATTATTTGTTTCCTAAACTATGATGTATTCATATGGGAATCTTTGACGGGCTTTAACAAATTACTTAATCGGTGAAACGTAGCACAATTTCGAATTTAAGCACCGTCTGAAATAAAAAAAGGAATATAGAATTATCAATAAAAAGAAAATCAACCGGTAAGAACCTAGCTTAGACTTATCTGGACAAAAAATGTGAATTGTAGGAATAATAATTCAGATGATATTTTTGTTGGATGACCAAAAAGAGTATCAACAATTGATTCGTACTTCCTGGAAATCATAGCCAGTCCATACGATGTTTATGTCCCAAGACAAACTCAATGTATTGACTATTGATCATGTCGCTCAGTGACAGTGTTTTGACTATCGAAGACGAAGGCTCGCAGTTCGAGTCCTGAGAATGAGACAAGCGAATAACAGATCCAAAGCGGAACTAAAATGTTGTCCAGTGCTCTTGGTTGCTCATGTTACACAAAATTCGATAACACTCACATTACACTGCATTACTATATGGGTAACCGAACAACTCAATTGATGAGTCCCACAACAAAGGGTGAATGCACAAGTCCTAAAGATTGCAAATCGTAATAAACCATAAATAATTTGCAACTGATGGTATGTGCATTACGTGCAAGGTACATAACGCCTACGTCGCCTTATTTATTGCTTCCCCTCCCAAACGTTAAGCTTAGGTTCCCCACCATATACTCATTTCGATTAGAGTCCTGGTCATTGTTGGGCACAAATCGGTTATGGAACATAACAGACAATGGCATTCAATCACTTGGCAATAGGGGATACATCACCTATTAGAAGCCGCACAAAGAAATGGCTATCGGCGAGGGATTCAGCCTGGCGAGATTATAATCATCTTCCGAATGCTGTCACATGGAATAATTACCGTATGCTGAGGAACCACTGCACCAAGCTGATTCGTGAGGATAAAGTAAAATACCAAGAGGTGCTAGCGCAAAAATTCATTTCTAACCCTAAGCTGTTGTACCAACACGTCAACTCCATTCGAAAAGTAAAGTTTGGTATACC